CCCCCCCCTGGCAGCCCGGGCCCTCTTTGCCCATTTGGGTCCGGTTCATCGACTGACCTCGCCATCATGTCCAGTTCCTCGTCTTCCGGGCGAACTCCTCGGTGGACCATCTCCTTCCGGAACGGCCGGACCTCGGTCTGTCGGCCCAGCTGCTGCCGGACACGACGCAGCATACGGCCATCTCCAACCACTATGGCATCATCTTCTGTGGTCGTGGCAACCGTGCGTCCTTCCGGCTGTTATGGCCGGTCCTTCGCGCCGGCCCTCCTGTCGCCGGGCTGCTGGCTGCCTGTGTGCCCGCCTCGTGCCCTGACTCTCCGCTCCTCTGTCTCCCTCACGCGCAGGTCTGTTTGCTCTGTCAACGTCGCGCATCCAGCCTGGGATCTCGGGGAACCGCGTGGACGATGCGCTGGTCGTGGACTTTGACAGCCCCATCGTCGCGGTGAAGGTGGCCGAGAATGACACCTTCCTCCTTGTGGCCGCTGGCCAAAAGCTCCGCGCCTTTGTCTTCGGCCTGACCGCCGAGTCACAGGTGCACCCTCGATGCCCCCTCCGCCAATATCCCGGCCTCTGGGCGGGAATGCCCTCCCCCCCCCCCCTGCCCCCGCTCTGCCAAGCCTCCGCCCCCTTCCCGCGCACTTGCATTCTCCTGGCCCTGACATGTACCGCTGCTCCCCAGACCCTTCAACTGCTGGAGGTCCTCTGTGCCGATCTACCCAGCATCCCGGAGAAGGTGGCCTGTTCGGCAACCTCGCTTCAAGTGCTGGCTCTCTTTCAAGATCAAACCTGCCACCTCTACTCGCTGCCTGTGGTGGGCGGCCTGCCGGACCTGGCCAAATATACGCTGCCCATGCGTCCGGAGCCGGAGATCGTCTTCGAGCGCGTGCACGCCGGTACGATGCCCAGCCGTGACCCGGTTGCACGATGCCCCCGCCGCCTTCCCTCTCCCGTATTCTGACGGACAATCCGTGCCTCCTCCCTGGCTGTAGCTGCTGTCACCGACGAAGGCCTGATCCTTCTCGGGCGAGCAAATGGAGTGGTGTCAGTCTACTCGTATGAGCCGCCAGACAAGGCGTGTTCCAGTGTGCCGGCCTTTTTCCCGTCGGAGTTCTGCTTTACCCCTTCCAAGCAGCCAGCCCAGCGGTCTCCGGCCCTTAGCTCTCCCTCCATCGAGGCGACCGGCACCAGTCGCGCCGTGCGGTCCGGCCTGCGTCTGGTGGTACCGCCGGGCAGTGCCACGCTCATCCGGGACGTCAAGCTGGCCCCCTCAACCCAAGCAAGTGCGCTTCTGCCCATGCTTCTCCCCCTCTGCCATGAGATCGATCTTGCTGTGTCTGCTCCCTCTCTTGCTCTCTCTCTCTCTCTCTCTCCCTCTCCCTCCCTCTCTCTCTCTCTCTCTCTTCAGGCTGTTAACCACACTCCCTTGCCAGTTATCCACCTTTCTGCCTCCCCAAGCTTTGCCATCATGGCCGCCTACCTAGACAAGGAGCAGGACGCCTTTAACCTGGTGGTCTGGGATGCCCGGCGGGTGCGTCCACAGGCCGGCTCTTTGCGCCTGCTTTTGTGTTTGGCCGGTTTCCCCAGCCATTGCTGATGCTCCTTCCTTTGCCTTTGATCCCCACTCCCCCCTTCTCCTGTTGGTGCAATTCCCAGGGCCTCGATCGCAGCCAGCACTTTCTCCTTCCCTTCCCTGCTGGGGGAAGTCGCGAGCGTAAGCTCGACTTCTGTTCACTCTACCTTTCTCATCAGTGCGTCCCTGTGGCCGCCTCCCCTCACACCAGTGGCATTTGAATTGATCTCGACGACTCATGTCTGTTTGTCCTCCCCACTCCCCCACCCCCGTCCGCCTGGCAGTCCCAACCAGTGGTCACATCTTTTCCTGGTCAGCAGTTCCTGGTGTGACGGCTGGGCTGCCATCTCCTGCGACCTGGATGACAGCCGCCAGGGCATGCCTCCGCGTGATGATCATGTTTACTCGCATCGCAGCCTCTCGCAAATCATCCGCAATGGCGTGGCCGACAAGGACGAAACGACCTTCTGGTTCCGCTGGCCGGTCCTCGGAGCCACCCTTTCGTCGGAAGACCATCCGAACCTGGCTGGAGCCTTGCGCATCGACGACATGACAGCGGTTCTCTGCCCGGTCGGGCCGCTGCCGTGCGTGTCAATGGCGGACCGGGCCTCGCGCGTGTCCTTCCCTCCCCTCTGTCTCGCCTTGTTGCTCTTCTTTCTCCCCTTACTGCAACGCGCCCGAAGGACATGCGGCTAACCTGGGCAACCCGCGCCGCCATGGTCAGCCCACCGGGCCGTGGCTCGCGCGACAAGGTCCCCGTCAATCGGTTGCGCATCATGGTGTCCGTAACTTCGGCACTGGATCCCGAGCCCGGCTGCCTGCGGCTGCCCAATGGTTTGGTCTTGTTTGATGTTTCACAAATCCTGGCCGATCCAGCCACTGCGGTCCACTTGGACCCCCAACTCTATCCACGTGAGGTGCCGATCGGCACTGCCTCCTTCTATCACCGGGTGGTGTCGCACCTGCTGCCGGCGCCGCGCTTTCCACACATGAGTGAAATGCGCTTCGGCCTGTCGCGCGATGACCTGGACATCGGCCCGGTCGAGGGGGATCTCCTGCAGGTGGTATATGGTGCGCAATGTCCCCCCTCTTGCCTCGCTGCTCTTCGGTCGGCCTCTGTCCTGCTCCCTCCCTGCCCCGATGTCTGGCGAAATGCCACGCTCTTGATACTCACCCATGTCCTAGTCCCCAAAAGCATGTATGACCTGCCGAGCCCGACGGACCCGGCCGCGGCCGGCCCCTCCGAGGCCAACACCGAGGCACCGGCCCAGGCCGAAGCGCCCAACTCGCCGCTCGATAGCCCGGATTCCGGCTTGTCCTCCTCCTCTTCCTCGGCATCCATCTTCCTGGAATCTGTGGCCCAGCGTGTGTCGGACCTAAGTCGGTCGTCCTCCTGCGAGTCTGTCAGCGCCATGGGCACCCCCCGGAGCGGGACATCCCTCTCGCCCTCCACGTCGATCTCCTCGCTGGCAGCGGTCTTCCAGCGCTCGGCCGAGTCGGAGGTCGGCAGTGCACCGGAAACCCCAACCGGCTCCGGGACCACCCTTCTCCGACGGTCGTCCAGCAGTGCTCGCCGCGCGGCTCCGGGCAGCCTCGTGTCGAAGATGATCAATCGCTTTGGCGGGACCCCCGACACCGAGCCGGCCAGCGCTCCGACCGCCAGTGGCCTGGGCATCGGCATTGGGCGATCAGCCGGCAATCAACTGGCCGGACTGGCCAGCCCCGAGGCCGGGCCAGATGACCGGCGTGTGGTTTCCGCGGTGCTGGCTTCCCTGGCCGAGGTGGTCTTGGCCGCGCCCGGGTCGCCCTCGCCCCATGGACACCGGGCCACAGGCAGCATGGGCCGTCTGGACGAGGACTCCACCCCCCTGGCCAGCAGCTCAGCCGAGTCGGCTGCGGCCACTTCCCCCCTGGCCACACCGGTTCCCGAGGAGTCTCTCATGCTTTCGGGATGTCCCTCTTCCGATGGGGAAGCCCTCTCGCTTTCTCACGACCCGTCTCGTGCCAGGGACCCGGCTGCTGGGCCGGATCCTCCCGAATGGCTGCCGTCCGTCAATGAGTCTCTTCTCAATGACGTGCTTCCAGGTGACTCGTCGATGCAGGAGCTGCCTCCTGGCGCGGGGGCCCTTGTTCTAGCCGGCAGCGAGGCCGAAGCCACCGCCGTGCATGAGCCTGCACCGGCGTCCGTGTCTGACGCACCATCCATCAGCCAGCATGTACTTGCCCAGGGGGCGAGCGCTGTCACGGACACGTCTGTCCCGAGGAGTCTGCTCGGTGCCGGCGACACGGCTGGCACCGGCCGGTCTGCGTCCCCCGGTCAGCCGCTCAATGCCGGCCGGGCGGCCTTCACGGCCCAAGATGTGTCCCCCATTCAAGAGGCGATTCAGCCTTCCTGCGACTTTGGGTCCCTTGATGGGGGCCCGTCTGCTGGCTACCAGCTGGCCGATGGAGGTGGTCCGCACGATCGTCATCTCCTCCCGGGCTCGGAGAAGGAGCTCTTGACTGAGAGCACATGTGTGGACACGACCCCAAGTGTGCTGGCAGCCGCACTGCCCAGCCAAGAGGCACCCTGTACGGCCGAGGCACCTGACATGGCCATGGGCCAGCCTGCCGAATGTGACGGTGTCTCCATCAGCACTGAGGTGCATCCGCACGAGCGAGCCGCCGCCCCGAGTGAGCTCACTTTGGACGGAGGGCCGAACATGCATGGTGATGACGCAGCCGCTGGCGGGCTGGCATCGGGTGGCACTCTATCCCCGAGCGTCGGTGCTATCTCTGCCAGTGCCGGCGAGCTTCTCGCCAGTGACGACGAGGCGACCGCCGATATGCCAGTTGAGACGAATAACTCCGGCACCCTGTCCGCCGGGGAACCGATCCATGCGGAGGGTGAGCCGGATAGCACCAGTCTTGTGCCGATGGCCTCGCTGGATGTTCTCCCTCTTGATATCCCTCCTCCAGATGTTTCCCCTCCTGTTGCTCGCTCTTCCAGTGCCTGCTCTCCTGTTGCTTCCCCTGCCGGCGCTTCCCCTACCGGCGTTTCCCCTACCGGGGCCTCCTTCACCGATGTTGCCATCACCGAAGGCACGGAGCTCCTGCCTGGGCTTGACGCATCCTGCGACGAGGCACTGTCTTCCTCCAGGGGCGCTCATGCGGTTGAGAGCGGTCTTGCTACCGACATGCCACCTTCGCACGGCGGCGATGATGTTGCCACTCCAATGGGCGAGCCGGTGGCTACTCTGGTAGTTTCAAGCGACGGAATTTCTCGCCGCGACAACATCGAGCATCCTTCGGCGGATGACAGCAGCTCGGGTCCGGCCGGGGACTTGGCGGTCCTTCCGACCGACACCATGATGGCCACCAGCACAGCACCATCTCCTGCTCGCTCTGTGGCCCCTGCTCAGTTGCTCTCGGCCATTGACAGCGGCTCACCGACCATCTCCGACCTATCTGGCGCCGATTATCCGATGGCCGAGGGTGCTGCTCTCCAGATAGACGATGTTGCAAGTAGCCCTGGGTCCGTCTTCACGGATGGTGCCAGCTCCCCAGGCGAAGCCTCCCCTGGTGATGAGCTGTCCCCTGCGCATGGACCGTCCAGTGGCCGGGAGGAAGTTGCCCCACTTGGCGGCCCGTCCTCGTCGAATGAGCTGTTCTCCGGCCATGAGGCGGTCCCCACTGGCGCTTCGCTCGAGGCCACCGAATCGGCCCCGGCTGCCACCTCCCCCCATGGCGATGCATCACCCCTCGTCGATGCACCCGTTGCCGAGGAAAGTGCCCTTCGTGATGAGGGGTGCACATCTTCCATGGACCAGCCCGCCCTCGACAGCACCGACGTCCCTGTGGTGGCTGTTGGCCATGTTGCTGGGAATGATGCTGCTGCCGCGCAGGTGGCCGATGTGCCCGGGCCTGCCGCCGATTTGGCATCTGTCAACAGGATGACCCCTGATTCCGTCGGGTGTGCCTCCGCCACCGGCAAGGCCCCCCCGACCGGGGCCGAGTGCCTGGAGCGTTGCGACCTGTCCGATCAGGAGACTGGCTCCGGGCCGGCGGCTGTTTCCGAGCCGAGTCCCGCTCGTCTCCCAGATGCCACCTTGAGTCGAGACCTCGGTTTCGACCGGGACCCCCCTTCTTACGAGGTGTCTTCCATCGAGAGCGGGGCCGCCGTTGGCGATGGGGCGTCCTCCGAAGACGAAGGAGCAGACATCGGAGCTGACGACGGCGAGGTGCCTGTGCTTGCCGCTGTCACGGACGTTGGCGGCGCCGAGGCGCCTGTTTCTTGGGAACCTGTCGCTTCTGGCGTCGGAAATTCCGAGAGCCGGCCTTCGCTCGACGATGCCCCCTTCTCGGGCGATACTTCCCCCGCCACAGGAGCATCTCCATCTGTTTGCCAGCCCGCCTGTGAGTCCGCAACCGCACGTGAGCTCCCCGGCGCCTGTACATCCGACCCGAATGGTTCCTGGCGCCTCGACAGTCGGGAGCACTCTCCACCTCCGGTGCTTGGATGTGTTGAGGCTTTCTCTGGCGATGGACCTCCGTCTGCTATTCTCGGGGCTCACCTGGCCGAGGAGACCGCTGGCTATACTGAACTGGCCTCGGCCGAGGATCGCACTCATGATGTGGTGGCAGCTGCGCAGACCGTCGCTGCCACCCTCACCCCTGAGCCAAGCCTCACGGGCCTTGGTCATTCAGCCGGGCCCATCACCGGTGAGGCAGCACCTGATGTGGAGGCGGCTTCCATGGTGGCCGAGATTGCGGCCACAGATGTCTCCGGCAATTTGAGCTCTTCGCCTGAGCACATCCCCATCGATGCTGACCAGCCGGCTGACGAGGTGTCTTCTCCCATTGAAGCCGATACCGCCGGACATATGGCCTCCGATGGTGGTGAATTCGCCCTCAACCATGTCGGCCATCTGGGTGACGTGTCTGAGGCCACCAGTGAGTCGGCCCTCGCGACGGCCGAATCGGACCCAGGCGTGCTTGGTCTTTTGGATGGGGCCAGCCCCTCGGCCGATGCGCCGGTCGAGGTTACACCCTTGGCTGGGGGGCCGCTTGCAGTCCATGGGATGGCTGTCGGCAATGCAGGCGGTGCCATCAGTGAATGCCTGTCCGAGGCCGATGGCGATCATGCTCGGGCCGAGGGTCCGACAGACACTCACATCGCTGGGCATGGCGCTGCGGATCCCCATGCAGATGAGCTTGCTGACGCAGCGTCCGGCTTTGTCGCGGACACACCGGGCAATGGCGAAGTGTGTGCCGCCCGCATGGCGCATTTGCCAGGCGAAAGTGCCCCGCCAGACACGGCCGCTGTGTTGGATTGTGTCGACCCGATGTCCGAGGCCCTCCCCGAGGCCGATGCTGCCACGCCGTACGGAGCGCCCACTTCCATCGGGTCGTCCCCCGATCAAGGCACACATTCGGCCGGGCTTCCCAGCCTCGAGAATGGTGCCTGTGTCGACGCCACGATGGTCTCCACCGGCGAGGTGCCACCCGGCCACAGGGGTGTCCCCTTCGATGGGACTGCTCTGGATCTTGCGCAGACCACGGCCACCGAGTCGACCTCGACCGACTTCGCCTCCTCGGCAACCGGCACAGCCTCCGAGGGCCATGGGCTTTCCCCGTGCGCTGTGGGAACCGCCGATGGAGTTGCCCTGGGAGGCGGTGCGATTGCCGGGGTTGAGGCCATTCCCGAGGCAGAGCCATCCCCTGCCCTGCCGGTGGCGCTAGCTGATCCCGGAGTTCCAGGCACTGAGCTAATCGCAGAGGCCACCCCCATTCCCGAAGGCCATATCATCCCCGGCCCCAGTGGGATCCCCGAGGGTGATGTGCTTGCCGAGAGCGACCCATCTTCGGACGACGAGGCGTCTTCTCGTTCTTCTTCTTTCTCCTCTTCTCCTTCTTATCCATCTTCGGTCGAAACCCAGTCTCTGGGTGAGGAGACTCTGGCTGAGGCCGCGATTCCCGGAAGCCATGACGATGCACCGGCCACTCGCACGGATGTCGCTGATGGCTCCATTGCTGCGAGGGAGCCGGACCCCGACAATCAGCCAGCATCCCTCGACCCCAAGGACCGGGTACTCGATGTTCAGAGCGGTGATTGCACACCAGGTGACAATCCCACGAAGGAACTTGAGCCCAGCTGCACCAGCGAGGCCGCTCGTCCAGGCGACTGTGATGGCGGAAACCCGGCGGCTGGGCCGACCGAGCCTGCTTCCCGGGCTGCTGCCCGATCCCTGGTGGCCAGTGTGGTTCCTGCCGAGCTGATGGCCGTCGTGGGTGGGGGATTCGTGTCGAGCAAGGTGAGCCTGGAATCTATGGACCCCTTGCCCTGTGTCACTCCTGTCAGTGGCAATAGCCCCACGAAGGAGACACATTGCCCAGGCAGTCAGCCCGGGGGACATGCATCACAGGCGGCGCCTGCCCTGCAAGACCCAGAAGCAAATGCCCCCTCAACTGGGACCAGTTCCGCTGATGCGGAGGCCAGCCTCGTCGGCCAGGCGTGTGTCACCCTGGATGTGCCCTCCTCCGATGGGACGACCAACACCGATGGCCTGCCAGCCACCGAGGCGCCTGTCTCTGCGTCGGATATGCCCAGCGATGGTGTTGGGGATGTCCCTCTTTCTGGCAGTGGCCCTGCTCCTGTCGACCGCGAGACGCTTGGGGATGTCCCATGCCACGGGGCTGGTGGCTCGATGCCCGGCGAGAGGGCCATCGCCGGGGAGGTGGCCTGCACCATCAGCCAGACTCCGGCGGCTGGCCGTCCATCGGATCGGCCTGCCGACATGCCAGCCGATGCTGCCTGCCCACCGCCGGTGGATGAGGACGTCTCTTCGCCGGGTGCGCGGTCCACGGGGCGTCTGATCACCGTGCCCAGCGGCGACACCTCGCCGGGAATGGCTGAGCCGGCCCAGGCTTCCGCTCTGACCATGGCATCCGTCGAGGATGTGTCCTCCGAGCAGTGTGTCATCGACGTGCCATTCCCCGACCCAAGCACCACTGCCGGTGGGGACGTCCCTCCTCCTGGGTCTTTTGCCTCCTCCGGGCATTCTCCTCGCGATGTGTCTTCCTCGGATGGTCAACTTGGTGGCGCTCTTCTGGCCGGCATTGTTCCCTCTTGCGCGGCCGCATCGCCGCCCGAGGTCATGATCGCCGCCGGCCCCGCCGCCGTCGCCTGTCTGTTGCCCCAGGCGTCTGACTCCGAGGACCCCTTGGCCGAAGCTCCACCTTCAATTGGGCCTTCTCTTGACGGGGACACTATCCAGGATGGCCTGTCTGCTGAGGCTAGCCCTGCCGCAGCCGGTTCGCCGGTTGTTGTCAGCGGTGCCGGTACCGGTGAGCCGGTTTCTCCTGCCCCCAGTCCGACACACCTTTCCGGTGACATGCCCTCTCCCCACCCTCCGACCAGCGAATTGGCCACCCATCTGGATGCCGTCCGTGTGACAGACCGCCCAAGCCGGGAAGCCCCTGCTTGTGGCGCTATCACGGGAGATGACAAGAAGCCGGGGGATCGGTCTGATGCCGAGGACATTAGCCACATGGAGGGCCAGTGTGCGAGGAGCAGCGAGCCGACAGGTGCCATTTCCGGGCGCGCCGCTCTTCCCATGGCCGATGGCGGGCCCGAGCTCCTAGCCCACGGAGTTGAGGCTGTGACTGGGTGCGCCATCGGGCTGCCCTCAATCGCTGAGAGCTCACTTCGAGCGGATTCGGCGTCTGGGGGAAGCCCACCCCTCTCCAGTGGGCGGGACCTGCCTGCCTGTGATGCCGGATCTGCCGCCCCGTCGGTCTCTGAGAAGTCCCCTCTCCGTGAGGGGCTGTCCACCATTGAGCGGAGCAACTCCCAGGGCAGCTTCGATGCTCCCGAGGGCGTTGCCGTTGGTAAGTCACCTCTCCGCCGGGAGGAGTCGTCGCCCCGGCCGGGTCCCGTCGAGGGCCTTTGGTCGCCTTTGGCGGGTGGCCTCGATCCGGCCGATGTGTCGCTCTTCGACCGGGAACTCACCCTCGGCCAGTCCTCAGGGCACTCTGGCGGGGTGACCCCACCAGTGGGGCCCATTTCCTTGGAGGACCCCTCCTCAAGTGGGGAGTCCGTGTTGATGGGTGGTCCGACATCCAGCAAGGGGCATGTTACTGTGGTGGATGCCTTCCCCAGCCGAGATGCCATTCCCGACATGCGGCCACCCTCCCACGCATGGCATGGGCCTGTTGCTGAGGCGCCCGCCTCGATTGAGCATCTGCCGCCTGGCGAAGCCTCTTCCCCCGATGACACGACGCCCGATGGGGCGGCCCTGGAGCCCGGTCTTCCGGGTATGTGGGGATCTGCCAGCGGGCCAAGGCAAAATGCCGTGGCCGAGCCCGACCGGGGGCTCAGTTCCCCGGAGGCAGGGTCTTCCCCAGACGACTTGGCGGTCAGCCCGCGGTCGGGACTGCTCGAGGAGTCGGCCCCAACCGGCAGCTCGGAATCCATCGAGGGGGAGCCGCTTTCTTCCGAGGCGACCTCCCTGTCTGGAGGGCCGTGTGTGGCTGCCCGGTCGTCTGCCGACTGCCTGACCGGCGATGAGCCTGTCATGAGCAAGGTCCTTTCAACTGCCTGCCCTGTGGCTCCTGGCGGAGGGTCACCCCCTACCGAGGAGGCTCCCCTTGAAGGACATGTCCCCGTTGGTGAGCAGCCAGGCCTTGTGGATCAGACCGTGCCCAATTCCGCGACAAATCCCATCGTCGGGATCTCGGCGTCTGGGGGGCCCCCTTCCGTTGCACAAGCCTTCCCCGAGCATGAGCCCACCCCATGTGCCTCTATGGCTGGATTTCCGGTCTCCACCGACACAGGCCCCCCCTCCAGCATGTCGCACTCCATCGAGGGACTAATGGGCGCTCAGGCACCAGCTCGCCAGGAGGCCGACCCCCTGGCCGAAATGGCCTCCCCCGCTATGGAGCCAACCCGCCCCGGTCATTGGGATGCCGTTGAGGCAGCCTCCCCGGGGGGGAGCACCGCATCTGTCCAGGCGCCTGTCGGTCGCGCCGGGCTCGACACGGCCAAGGCCACTGACCTTGCCCACGTGTGCCATCCGCCCGGTGGGGATGTTTCCGGGCTCCCGGGACTCCCGAGTGCCGGGTTTGCGCCTCCCACCGAGCCGGAATCCGCCCTGGGCCCCCTCACCAATGATGGGAGCCTCGGTCCGATGCCTTCGGCGTGTGTCCCGAAAGCCCCGGTCGTCCCCGCAAGCTCTCTGGCCGGCCAGGGTAAAATGGACCTCCCGTCGGATGTCGGGCCCCTGGCGTATCCTTTGTGCCAGCCGGACACCGACCAGATTCGGGCTTCCTGTGCAGTGGGCCCCGGCTCGACTCGGCCGTCGCCGGGCTCCGGCGTGGTCCTGCCCTCGCTGGACTCGGAGCCCATCCCCTCGGCACACACATCCGAGGCGGAGCCCTCTCCGAGCAGCAGTCCGTTGCTCCAGTCCCCGGATGAGCAGCATCTCCTGGCATGGGAGACGTCACTCCTGTCCAAGGGGGGCCACGCCGCCCTTCCCCCCTCAGTGGACTTGTCCGCCCGGTGCGACCTTTTCCTGGCCCCTTTGCTCGGCTCTGCCGGTGAGAGCGACTTCTCCGCTGCCTTGGAAATGCTCGCCCAGCGGGTGGGCCAGCTCGAGCGGCATCTGTCCAATCCCCCGCCGACCGGCATCGAGATGCCCCCTCTCGGGCAGCTGGCCGATGGGGTGAATGCCTGTGTCGGGCTTTGGCCTGGCTGCCTGCCGCCACATGGGGAAGATCTCCGCGGGCCGGAGGCCTTCCAGCAGGGTACCGTCTTTTCGCGCTTTCCCGGCGCCCATTTCACACCATGTCTTGGTGTTCCATTTTCCCTTTCGCCCGCTTCCTTTCTCTCCTCCTTCTTCCTCGAGCTCACATCGCACTTGGCCCCACTCCGGTCAGCGTTGCAACTGGCATGTGAGATCGACCGAGTCCGGGCGTCGAGCGGCCCGGTCGCATGGCAGTCTCCGGTCGCGACTCCTTGCGCTGGCCGGCCGGCCGCTTATTTGAACGACTTCGAGGATCGCATCGATCGCTTCCGAACCCAACTCCTGGGGGTGGCCGCCGGTTTGTCCGCATGCGAGTCATTGCTCGGGCCGGGATAGTGCGTTGCATCTTCCACCTCCATTCATCGCCCCGCACCTCTCTCTCTCTGTCTCTCTCTCTCTCTCTCTCTCTCTCTCTCTCTCTCTCTTGCTGCCTCTTTCTCTCCCGCTCGCTCGCCCTCTTGGGCATATGTGCCCCCCCCCC